AAAAAAAAAAAAAAAAAAAAAGGAATATTCCGCATTGACTTTGGAGTAGAATCACTAAATTCTCTTGAGTTTTTTGGATACTGATTTTTAGAGCTGAATCACTGAATTGATCTGATTGAGTATTTGTGCCTTGTTACTATCATTATATAATCCCAAAGTAATTTCATTTTAAGAACCATTATTTTTAGAGATGTATCTATAGTAAGAGGGGAAAAAGCACCTATTATTCTTTCAACCTAGCCTACCGTTAATATGTTAGTTTTCCTTCTAATCAATTATTCCTTATTTCTAGGCTTTACTTCCTTCCCTTTTCAAATTGTATGCGGGATACTTTACTTCCAGTAAAATACATAAATATTAACTATTCTACTTGAAAAATTATACATATATACACACACACACATATCCATGTAAATATACATGTATGTGTATATGTACACTCATACACACACCTGTGTAAAGTTTTTTACATAGCTATAAATAGCATATATTAAAGTACCTTTTTTTGAGCAATATTAGTTTCAAGGGATGAGAAAAACGTTACCATTTTTAAAAAGATATAAAGACTCACCATGGATAGATACATTTGGGAAACCCTCTAAGTATAGGCTAGTCATTTTCTTCAGTTTTAGGGATTCTCAGAGCTTTTAGTATGCAAATTTGTGCACATTGGGTATAGGGGCAATATTAAGCTGCATTTTTGAAATTTATTTTAATCATGGAATCATTTTTCACATCGCATATGTTCAATGTTCTGTTTGCATTATTTTCATTTATAACTCATGACATCACAAATATGGTCCTTAAAATTTCATCAAGTACTTGGATGCAACTCAGTCTAGTTAACCAGTGAAATAAACGAGGTTAAGGGAGTCTAAATCCATGAGGCGTGGGCTGTCTGTGTTAACTGTTGTACCTTAGTCTAGTGTACTGCCTGTTACATAGCAGGCACTTGATACTTACTATAAGAATGACCAGATGTCTGTTGTGTGATCATTCTTCCCACCCATCTTTGTGAATTTTATACAGTTCTTTTACATTTAGCTTCCTTTGATTTTTAGTGAGACTAAGTATTTTCTCATGTTTCTTTACTAACTATAGGTCCATATTTGTGAATTGTGCATTCATTTCCTCTATTAATTTGTGATGATCTTCACGTTTTTTGTCTCAATTTTTATGAGCTTCTATGTAATTAAGTTTGTAGCAAAACACACTTTTTCATAAGTGTGTTACGTCTTAGTGTTCACTTTTTTTTTCAAGTAAAAAATGTGAAGTATGTATGGACTCAGATCTGTTGATATTTTTCTTTATGATTTTTTGTATTTGCATAAATGCATGAACCTGAGGCCCTACCCAGGCTGTGCATGCTTAATTCAACCCTCCTCTAGTGTGGGTATAATACTTTTAAACAAAACTATTCTTTAAGCCATTTGGAATTTGTTTTTGCACACAGCATAAAGAGATAACCTGTTTCCCCCCACCATGTTGCAGGTCATTTGTTCCCACCTTCACTAAACCATTTTTATTTTACAACATGATGTGATACCTCCTTTAATATGTATTAAATGTATTTATAACTTGACCTATTTGGGGGATAATCTATATTTTTTCAAAATATCATAGGATTACATAATGTTTTTTTATTTGGTTGGTCTAGCCTCACTTAATTAACACTCATTATTTTTTGTTTTCTGTAATTTTTTTCTCATCTATTTATTAGCATTTCAGTCAGGTTCCATAAATGAACAAAAACTAGTTGAAATTTTAATGACATTGCATGAAGTAATAAATTTTCGCATCTTTACAGATGACTTTTTTCCTTTCCAGAAACATGGGATGCTTCTCTACTTTCAAGTTGTTTCTTTGTTTTTATATTTTCCTTCCTATGTCATAAACATTGCTATTGTAAAATTGAATGCTCTCTTTTTATTAGATGTTCTGTCCATTATCTTTTCACCTAAGTTTTAAAAATAAATTGGCTTCCATTATATGGCACTATAACTTTACAAATAAACATTACATAATGCAAATGCAAGGGTTTCAGTATCTCAATTTCACCATATAAGAAAGAAACGTAATTATTTTTCAAACAATTAAAGTTGGTTTCACTTCTCCTCTTGGCAATTGCAAAAGGACAAAAAACACACATTAGATAAAGCTGGCAAAATTTAATTTCTATCTAGAAATATCAAATGCTGGTTTGCTTTCTTAATCTATCAAGAAACTATCAAAAATTCATCCCAAAGAAAGGTAAAGTTAGCTAGTGGATCAGAATAAATTTTTCAAATAAAAATATAGAATAGTTAGTATCACATGTTACTACCTGAGCTCCAGTTGCTATTTCATCAGCAGCTTCATTCATTACTCCCAGGGTTTGAAAAGCAAATACACACAGCTCTCGTTCACACACAGTAGGCTACAAAACAAAAGGGAATCAATTCAACATTTTTTCCCTATCCTCCAATTCCTAAATTAAATGTATGACATTCTTTATAATAAATAGAAAATGCAAAGTTTTAGAATATTAAAAAGAAAGAAATATTATTTACAATAGCCTAGATGTGGAAGCTACCTAAGTGCCCACTGACAGATGAATGGATAAAGATATGGTATATGTATAAATACAATGGAGTATTACTCAGCCATAAAAAAGAACGAAATATTGCCATTTGCGAGAACATGGATGGACCTCGAGGGCATTATGCTAACTGAAATAAATCAAACAGAGAAAGACAAATGCTGTATGATTTCACTTACATGCATCTAAAAAAAGAAACAAATGAACAAACATAACAAAATATAAACAGAGTCATAGATACAGAGAACAGGCAACAGGTGGTTGCCAGAAGGGAGGTAGGTGGTAGGATGAGAGAAATAGGTGAGAGAGATTAGGAGGTACAAACTTCCAGTTACCAAATAAATGAGTCACAGGGATGAAATGTAGAGTGTGGGGAAGGTAGTCAGTAATAATGCAGTATCTTTGTATGGTGACAGATGGTAACTAGACTTACCATGGTGATCATTTTGTAATGTATAGAAATTTCAAATCACTATGTTGTGCACAAGAAACTAATGAAGTGTTGTATGTAGGTCAATTATACTTCAAAAACAAACAAATTCGTAGTAAAAGAAATCAGATTTGCCGTTACCAGAGGTGGAGGGGTGGGGGGAAGGGGAATTGGAGGAAGGTGGTCAAAAGGTACAAACTTCCAATTATAAGATAAATAACTACTAGGAATATAATGTACAACATAATTAATATAATTAACACTGGTGTATATGAAAGTTAAGAGAGTAAATCGTAAGAGTTCTCATCACAAGGAAAAAATACTTTTGATATTTTATTTTCCATTAGTATGAGATGATGCATATTCACTAACTTATTGTAGTAATCATTTCATGATGCATGTAAGACAAATTGTACTGTACACCTTAAACTTATACACTGCTGTATGTCACTTATATCTCAATAAAACTGGACGGGGGAAAAGAGAAGAAATATCACTTTAAAGAATTAAATTTCTAAATTTAGGTAACAATTAGTAAATAATCATTTATTGATACAGAGTCACAAATATGATTTAAAAATTCATTTTAGTTAGTTTTAGGTACTTGCACTTGGAATGATTTAGCAATAGATGAAAATATCCTTTAATTGGAAAATCCATCTCGCCTGCTTAATACACATTTGCACATGAGATGCACTAAAAAAAAAGCAGATACCTAAGCTGGTGATATACTAATTAAACCACAAAGCTGTGTAAAACATATATAAAAGGGAGAATTCCATTTCTCCTAGGTAATTTTCTCTGGAAGAAATAGCATGACTCAGCTACCCAGCTCTTGAAAGACTGGTTTTGTTGGAAAGACTTTTGACTTCAATAACCTCCTGGAGTCAACAGCACTGAAATACACACTCTGCAATTGCTTTGGAAGAGCTCTCATCTTTCAAATCTGATACAGTGTCATCTGTCTGATTTATCTTATCTCCCAAGTTACATTGCATTAGGTAGCTGATGAGGCCTAACACGATGCAGCCTGTGGTGCCCGGCACAGCAGACAGACGCATTTGTTAGTGCCATTGCTCCTATGTTCACTCATTTCAGAGGATAGTTTCATCTACTGCTTAACTAGTGGGGAAGGACGGCCTCATTCTGAGCATCCTTTATGTTCAGAATAGGCCCACATGGTAGCTTTGCAGACAAAAAGCATGACAAGTCACACAAAGATTTCTGATTGACATTCCCCAAAGAGAATTTTCAAAACAAATAAATTGATATATTTCCTTTATCAGCCTTAAAAGGACAGTTTGGTTCTATTTCAGAAACATCAGGAAAAACTACCTATGGTAGGAAACTAATTGGAAAAAGTTCTTCATCCAGCCTCAAGCGATATATACTGCTGCATATATTTGGATATACTTAGAGCAGACTGTTCAATTTCTACTACTTTTTCTTTTACTTTACCATTTAACCTATTCTTAATCTATTTTTTCATGTGTATGTGCATGTATGTTTCCTCCTCAACTTCCCCGCTGACATTGGTTTGTTTCTTTTGTTTACTTTAGGGGAGCATGGTATGGTCTGAAATAATAACATCAACCATTTTATTGCATATTTACTATAGTGTCAAACACTGTATTGGTGTCTGAGGATAGTGAAACTATACACAAACAAGAACCCGGGGAACACAAACCTTGGAAATCATAAAGGGCCATAGGAACTAATACGTGTACTCTACCAGACACCCAAAGTTCACTGAGGAAGTAAACAGAGACACAGAAGGTACTTTGTTTTTGATAATACTACTGCCAAATAACCATACAGTTTTTTATGACTAAAATCCATCAATCCCAAAGCTGAATATCAGGATAAGGCTCATTTAGTGTATATGAGTAATGATTGGTTTTTATTTTTTTATTTGAACCCTGGATAATTAATTATACTTACTTTGTGATCATCCTAAAACATATGTATGTATGTATGTGTGTTCACACACATCTTCAGGGAATATAAGTAGAAACTACCATTTTGGTACCAAATTGTTGCCTTACGCAATATAAATGAAAATGAAATAAAATATTCTGCTAAACTAGATTGGAAGATAATTTTTTTGGAAGATAATTATTTGAAATTTGAATATTCTATCACGACACTTTGTAGCCAATCCTAGGTATTCATGTGCCACCCTGACTTTGTCTCAAATGATTTTTTACCAATTTCACCCAGACCTCCTGGTCTTCATCTTGGGTAACAAATGAGCAACAACAGTTCAATGTTTTCTCCTGAATTACTATTTCATCCCCCTCCCACATCTGTTTATACTCAAACCTCTAAATCTCCAAATTACATGGACTTACCAGCTGACCCATTATTTTAAATAATAAACCTACGTTCCTAATGTAAAGCTATGGATTAATTACATTATAGACACTCCTTTTCTTTCCCACATTTTTTTTCACTGAAAAGTGGCCTTTCTTCCCATACTCAAATTTGTAAGGCTGATTTCTAGGAATATCCTGTTACTGCAACTATTTGAAGAAGGAAATCAGGTACGATAGAAAACTTGCTTTTGGGGGGGAGAAAAGAAAGTTTGCTATCATACTGAAAAATCTGAAGTAGAACTACACATTACATTCTTATAAAAATAATTTTATCTTCCTTTTTTTTATTTGGTAAGGAAAGTGCTTTATTATGAATTTCTTTGATTATTCGTGGAATAACCTTTTTAGACATGTTCATTAGCATTTGGAATTTCTTCTGATAACGGTTCTTTTCTTTTAACATCTTTATTGGAGTATAACTGCTTTACAATGGTGGGTTAGTTTCTGCTTTATAACAAAGTGAATCAGCTATACATATACATATATGCCCATATCTCCTCCCTCTTGCATCTCCCTCTGACCCTCCCTATCCCACCCCTCTAGGTGGTCACAAAGCATGGAGCTGATCTCCCTGTGCTATGCAGCTGCTTCCCACTAGCTATCTATTTTACATTTGGTAGTGTAAATATGTCCATGCCACTCTCTCACTTCGTCCCAGCTTACCCTTCCCCCTCCCCATGTCCTCAAGTCCATTCGCTACATCTGTGTCTTTATTCCTGCCCTGCCCCTAGGTTCTTTAGAACCTTTTTTTTTTTAGATTCCATATATATGTGTTAGCATACAGTATTTGTTTTTCTCTTTCTGACTTACTTCACTCTGTATGACAGACTCTAGGTCCATCCACCTCACTACAAATAACTCAATTTCGTTTCTTTTAATGGCTGAGTAATATTCCATTGTATATATGTGCCACATCTTCTTCATCCATTCGTCTGTCAATGGACACTTAGGTTGCTTCCATGTCCTGGCTATTGTAAATAGAGCTGCAATGAACATTGTGGTGCATGACTCTTTTTGAATTATGGTTTTCTCAGGGTATGTGCCCAGTAGTGGGAGTGCTGGGTCATATGGTCGTTCTATTTTTAGTTTTTTGAGGAACCTCCATACTGTTCTCCATAGTGGCTGTATCCATTTACATTCCCACCAATAGTGCAAGAAGGTTCCCTTTTCTCCACACCCTCTCCAGCATATATTGTTTGTAGATTTTTTTGAGGAGGGCCATTCTGACTGGTATGAGGTGATACCTCACTGTAGTTTTGATTTGCATTTCTCTAATGATTAGTGATGTTGAGCATCCTTTCATGTGTTTGTTGCCCATCTGTATACCTTCTTTGGAGAAATGTCTATTTAGGTCTTCTGCCCATTTCTGGATTGGGTTGTTTGTTTTTTGATATTAAGCTGCATGAGCTGCTTGTAAATTTTGGAGATTAATTCTTTGTCAGTTGCTTCATTTGCAAATATTTTCTCCCATTCTGAGGGCTGTCTTTTCATTTTGTTTATGTTTTCCTTTTCATTAGGTCTCATTTGTTTACTTTTGTTTTTCTTTCCATTTCTCTAGAAGGTGTGTCAAAAAGGATCTTGCTGTGATTTATGTCATAGAGTGTTCTGCCTATATTTCTTCCTTTCTTTTTAAAATAGCAACTGTAGAGGTAGTAATATTGTGAATAATTTATGTACTATACAACACCATACTAAGTAAATGCCAGTGAATTTTTAAAGTAACAATGTTATATCTATCAATCATTTTTTACTATAACATTCTATAGAGTATTCAAGATATAAATGAGTTTAATTTTGATATAACAATTTGCCAACTAGTTTTTGTAGATCACTGACCCTCTCCCATGTTTATCCACATTTTATTTGAGAGGAGTTCAAAATGTCAACACAAGATGGCATACTAAAAGAAAGTTCTCAAATTGTAAGTAATCAAGATTAGATGTCTCACAGAAAGCACATCCTATTCAAGGAAAGAAACTGATTCATTTTTCCTTAATAAAATATGCAGTTATACAGTATTTAGCATTCTCCCA